ATCTGCATCTATTGAGTACTAGGCTAAGGCCATGTCTTAAGTACAGCAAATCCTGAATCTGTGACACCTCAGGGCTCATGGGTGGAGGTGTTCTGCACACCCGGCCCTCATGTAATCTCAAGATATGCCCTCTACCACCACTACCCAGGACTGAGCCTCTGAGTGAGAGCTTGATATGAAATATGCCTCCTGATTTTCTCACTTCGAATGTCCTTACTTACCTTACAGTAGTGCTCTTAAAAATCCTTAAGCTTTCCGTAATCAGCTAAATGGAAGGATGGGCTTAAAAAGCAGAGGCACACAATGCGTTTTGCCTCCATATGTCAGGATGGGGTTAGTTCTGCCTGTGTACTTGGAAGTAGGGCAGCATGAACCTGCATGAATGGCTGAGGAGGTGGAGGGAGTGCTTTTGCGGGACTCCAGAAAGGATGTGTTGTGGTGTTGTTAGTGAGTACTAATGTGTCTGTAATTAGCCACTGACATGTGCTCTTGTCACTATGGTAGTACTGCCTTGTTAGAACAGTAGCACTAAATAAGCTATGAATATTACATGTCAGAAGCTGTACAAAACTAGAGGCTGCTGTGTCAGCAGTAATTAGCAGCTCTGTTTTCATTATGGCTGGGGCTATGTCGATGCAGTGAGGGAGGGCTGTGCTTGGTGGATGGAGTGGGAGATGGCATTGTAGGACCAGAACTCTCAGAAGCCAAGTGGAGCTTGGTTATTTCACAGGAGGGGAAAGAGGGGATGCTAGCTGCTTTTGTACAGTGTGAAGTGCTGTTTGTTTGCAAAGCTCCATAGGACAGTGGTTACTGATTCCAGTAGGTTTGTGGTGAGTGATTAAATTGCTGCTTGCTGTTGCTGGCAGACTTTCTAAATTCTTCATTAAGGCCTTTCTGTTGCCTGCAATGACAGTTTTGTCCCCTCAGAAACTTGGGAGGAGGCAGGTATTTCCCTGATGACCTGACTCTTCCAGCAAATACTGAAGTGAATCTTGAGTGAAGCTAGAATTAACAAGTTTGTTTCCATGGAAATCTTTTAGGCTTGGAAGTTGCTGTACCTTAAAGGCTGTAGAGTTTGTAAGGTGAATGAATGCACTGGTCTTTTTCTATGGCACCCTTTAGAGAGAATATCTCTGTATAGCTCCCACTGCAAGGGCAGTTGGCTCTGTAGTGCATTTTGTGACTAGGATGACAGTGTTTTCCTTCCCATCCCCTGCCAGACTAATCGTGCTCTCCTCTCTGCCCACAGTGTCTGCCATTACAGCCGCCTCTTCTGGGAGTGGGGGGAAGGTGTCAAAGTGCACGACTCTCAGAAAAGGCAAGATCCAGAGAAGCTGTCAAAGGAAGTTGTCCTGTCTTTCATCCAAGCGCACTACCCCTAACCCTGCACTCTTGAGGAGTGCAGGGGGTGCTGAGCCCAGCTTGGATTCTTCAGGGACTGATGAGACTGGGAAGGCTCCAAAACTTCTATCCTGGTTTTCTCCAGAGCTTATTTCCTGGAGGTGATCAAACCGGGGGGTGACATGCAGAAGGCACAGGACAAAACTCTACCCTGGCAGTGTATATAAGAGTACAGCTCAGGCAGTGCCTGCTGCTGGAGTACCCATGGCTCCTGGAGCCAAGGCCTAACATCCTTTTGTCCTGAACTACTGCATGCATGAGGCCAAGTGGCTGGCAGCTTGCTTTGCTCCTGTTCAAACATTCAGCGAGTTTGTGGAGCTCTGTGTGTGCCAGAACTCTCTGGGCTTGTGCTTCCCTGGAAGTGTGGGAAGGAGCAGAGATGTCAGAGATGTCTTGGTGGCAGAGCTGGGCAACAGCACATTGAAGAGGCCCTGCATCGTTCCTGGCAGCTGTCTGTCTCCTCAGCCTCGTCAAAGGCTTACACTACCCAGTGGAGGTTAAGTCATTGGGGAATGCTAGCTTTGGGATGCAAGGATGTATTCTTGTTGGTGTCTCCAACACTTCTGCTTATCAAGGCACTTGGCTGGCCACTGGCGATTCCTATGTGATGGTATCCTGTTGGACAAAGGCAACCAGGTGATGATGGAGTTCCTGGCACAGACTTGATGTGCTCAGTGCCAGGGATTTCTCAGACCTAGAGAAGGAAGCTGCTGTGACAAGGCTTTCTCCTCTCCAGGTCCATGACTGATCCTGAGCCAGCAGCCTGGGGTTTATTTGTGAAAGTGTCTATGCCTCATGGTACTTCTGAGACCAAGGTGCTTCAATTCTTGGTACCCAACACTATTACGCAAATCTTTAGAGAGGAATGCGGATGTGGGAGGGAAGACACGGGAAGGTTGGGATGCTGGAGGTCTTTGGAGGAAATGATGGGAAAAAACAAACAAAATGGGGCTTCAGTGAAGAGATCTTGACTTTGACCATGTTGGTTAATCAGAAGAAATCCTGTGCCCTGACTGTGCCCACTGGAAAGGTTACCAGACTTTCCTTTTTAAATGTCAGAATGGGTTTTGAAACCCTCCATGTCTCACTTGGCCCTGGAACTTCATCTGGGGTGAAGGCACAGAGCTGTGAAACTCTCAGCATGGTATTTGTGTGTCAGCAGACTTTTCCATGCACTGCATGTTTTACCTTCACTTCTGGCTTCCATGGCACTTTTGCCAGGTCTTCCCCATAAATGGGAAGATAACATACAGTTGACAGTTGACTGCTTTTGGCCAAGCAGCAAAATTGCCCTTTTTTTGTTGTTGTTCTTGGCTTGTTCTTAAACACAGATTGGCAGTAGGGAGGAAACTGATTTAGGGGTTGTCTGAACTGTGCCTTAAAGAAAGCTATAGTTCCCTAGAATCTATAGCAGTTGTTTAGAATCTTGTTTCTTTCTCTCCACACCCGTATGTATGATTTGAACAAGCTTTATGTAGCAAGACATGGAAACTTTCACTTGTAGGTGTATGGGTATCCTGCACCCCACCTGAAGAAGCCAGAACAAGGATGGTATGTCGTAGAAGTCCCACCTCCACCCTCTAAGGCCCAGCATCATGCGTAGCTTTTGTGCTCATTCTCAGCACGCAGTTGAATGTCATCCTACAAGTAGGCTGTGCACTCTGAGCTTGGACCACTTCCATGTCTTCACGAGCAAATTGTCTCCATATACCCATGTATTCATTTATACCAAACTGTAGAGAATTTACTTAGCAGCTGCAACTCTTTGCACCAGAGAAAATTGTATGCAGGCTTGATCACTGCAGAACCACACCCCCAGCTAAAGGAGCAGCAGCACAGAAGTTGGTATGGACAGTTGGTCAATGAGGGACTGCATGCAGTTAGTTCATCCTCTTGCTGACCTGTAGCACCCCTCTGCTTTCAAGCATTGGTAAAACATGTATGAAAGAAACGGTGGCCCTTCCCCGGAAAGAATAAGAGGCCTGTCACTGGCAGTTTTGTTTTGGCAAAGGAACTTCCTTGAGGGTCGAGAAGAAATCTTTCCCAGTGGGCAGTAAAGAACCTCCAACTGCATGGCTTCCAGGCCTGTGTGCAGTTGGCTTTTTAAACCAACCAGTAATTTGAGCTCTGGCACTTCTTTGGGCTGCCCTGAGGCTGTTCCAATGCCAGCAAAGCATGCTGCTCCCTTTGCCAGGCTCCTTTGCTAAGTGTTGTGGCCTCCACTCAGGGCTTTGGTCTCTTGTGGGCTGGCAGACAGAAGGGCGACTAGGAAGTACACTAGTGTGAGTGTAGGCCTCTGAGCGTGCAAAAAAACCCCAAACCTGGTCAGCCTGCAGGCTAGCTTTTATGAACAGATACTTTGTTTACCCAGTTGTCTCCAGCTCCTCCTGATTTTAATTTGCTTTTATTTTTAATTTTATTTTTGATGCACTGAACCTTGATTCTGAATCCCCCTTCAAGAAGGCAAGCATAAGCCACCATGCTACTTGCTTCCCTGCTGCAGGGTAAATATGGATGGGACTATGTTAGGAAGGGGGGTGAGGTCTTGCTGAAGGGAATGTTTATGTACATTAATTGCATAATGTATTGTTATTAGGCTGTGTACTGTTTTGTTGACTTCTCTGCTTTCATTGTCTCTCTTACCAATACAGCCCCTTTAGTTCACAACAGTGCTTGTTTACTTTACTTTGCTTCCCACAAAATTCTGGCCAGCAGTGTGTGTTAGTGTGGAGACAGAGAAATGCCTTGCACAGTTAAATTTTCAAGGCAGTCCCCTTTTAAAGGCTTTCCTGGCAAGTCAGAGCACACTTTATGTATGTCACTGGGTCAGAATGAAAGGGGACTACAGAGGACAGTCTCTAGCACTCCTCTGCAGCATGCTAGGCTGCTTTTCCGCTCAAAGGAAGCAAACACTCAAGTAGATTCCAGGCCACAACAGACCAATAACCTACCGTTGAGCCCTCACTGACCAGGGGTGTTAAGGGCCTAACCCAGTCAGCTTACTATGGTGCAATGTGTGCCAGCAGGAAGATGGTTGGCTGAGAATAAAGCAGTGGCTGAGAGACATGTTACAAAACAAGAAGAAAAAAATCAGGAAGTTACAAGGTCAAATTACTTTATTTAAAGCCCTGCAGCTGCACTCCCATCCCTGGGAGTTGATAGTTCTCTTCTGCAAGTGTTGATTCACTAGAGAGGTAGGTAGATCTTTTCAAAGCCTGAGCACCTAGATCTCAAGTTGAAGGCTACCTGCTCGCAGAAAAAAAAAGATGCCTACCTCCCATCTGTTTTTGTGGAGGTAGGATTCTTTTGGTCCTGTAAATCAGTGTGGAGGAGGCAAAGTCTTTGTTTAGCTCTGCTCTGGGGACACATGGAGTCTTTAGGTTACAATACCCAAGTTACCCTTTGATTCAAAGAGCTTGGTGTCCCTTCAGCTTATGGCAGAGTCACAGGAACCAAGAAGGTGGCATGTATTCTGACTGGGCTGGGCATAGAACACTTCTCTGCAGCCACAGAGGTCCTCTTCAAAAGGGAGAACATACTGCCTTCCTCCATCAAGCTGCATACTGGGTAAGACAGCCCCACCTTGAGCTCTGCTTGACCTGATTTCCCAGTGCAAGTGTGCTGTGATTTCTGGTTTGTCTCCTGTCCCCTTCAATTCTCAGAGAAAAAGTTTCCCTGCAACGAGGCTTCGAGAGGATAAAGAAGGAACAGCAATTTGAAATGCTGATCCTCACCCTTGGGGGAGGCACAGTGGTGAGAAGACAAAGAGCTCCTTGCAGGAGTCTCATGTGGTCAGCAGGGAGAACTCTTGAGTGCAATCACATTGTCCAGCAAGCGTAAATAAGAGCAATCAGCAATCCCATGGCCACAGCAAGAGCAGCATTCTTGCGATTTTCCTTACGAAGTGCACTCAGTTCTTTCTCTGGGAAACAAACAAAAGCCTTGCCTGTGAATGTTGTTCATATTGCAGCTACACCTCCTTTCAAAACTGTCTTGAAGGCACAATGCTACCTTGGCCATGGGCAACTCTTTTGGGATCAGTATGCAAAGGTGCTTATTATAAGATGTGCTGAACAGGAGTAAATTAGGAAGAACCCTCTCATTTGCTAACTGTCATCCTGTCAATCTCAGAAGCTGTGCTTGGGAATACTTCAGTGCCAGACCAGCTCCCGATTTGCAAACAACCTTGTTCTAGTACCCTACTAAGGACAGAATGGGTCATCAGAATAATTGCTTGTTCCTGAAGAGAATGAAGACAGAGGGTAGAGAGCTGTTTCTACTATCTTCTAGATGTAAGAGCCCAGAACCTTTTCCTAGTGTTTAAATTTAAATACAACTGTGGCCACCTTTGAGTGTTGCAGAATCTGCGTTTCCTTGTGCCCCAGAAGGACAAGTGTCAGGTCTGGACACTCACTCTATTGGGGTCTGCAGCTGTTTAGAGGTAGGTCGCTTGCCCTGGCCCTGCAAGAATTGCAAATGCAGAGAGAGGATGGAAGTGGCTACCAAAAGTATGGAGTCCTACTGATCTCCGTTTCTGTTTCGTTCCCTTTACCAAAGATGAGAACCTCATTCTCACTAGGTCTGTTCCACAAGACTGCTGGATGATACAGGCAGCAAAGTGAGGCCTACAGCATTACACATTGCATGGCCAAACAGCAGTAATTATTTTGCAGGTCAAGGTTGGGTGCAGACTGTCTCCAGAGCCAGATTGCTCCTGCTGCTTGAATTCAGCTGCAGTGACTACACAGTTACTGCCTCTATGGTTTGCACTAGCAGGGGAATGCTCTGGTACTGCTACTGAAAGCGGCTTTTAAGTTCAAGCATTCTCCTGCAACCACAGAGCAAACTGCCTGAATCTGCAAGGCTACAGAGGAGGTGGTAGGGGCAGGAGCTGGCAGCAGTGCCAGCTTACAGTGATGGAGCAATGCCATTGTCAGCAACTGCAGTTCATGGCCTCAAGTGTGTCAGCAG